ATATTGAAGTTTCTATTTAGTGCACACGACAGTTTAACTTGCCGAACTGCTTATATCATATATTTTAAGATGCCTAATAAACAAATGTACCTAATGATAGCATTATACCTTCAAACAGGACAGGACATGGTACCATATAGAATCAATATTCTATCATACTACGTTTTGAATTCAATTCTACAGCAATAGTGTTTGTACATTATATCATAGAAAATTGTTTCATTTAAATCATCTTTACAATATAAATAGCTAATAGTTCAACTAACAGAAAATGAGTATAACTGAAAGACAAGAAAAGTAAATGGCATTACATGTGCAAGATATATGTAGATAGCAGGTGAATATCACCATCAGAATAGAATGATAAGGAATTCATAAATAAAACCATTGTTTTAATGTGGTAAAACTAAGAAAATAAGAAATACAAATATAGTTTCTTGGTGATTATTACATCAATTTTTTAAATTTTTATCATTTTCATTCGAATCTATATCTATAGAGTGACAACTCTAAGTATCAGCTGATACTGTTCTCGGTATAATTTTTTTTGGTTTTTGACGCACAAAAATCCAAAAAACGCTCTTTTTTGGACAGAAAAACTCAGAAACTTAATGTTAAATAAAAATATAGTGCAGCAGGTGCTGCTAGAAAATATTAAATATTTAATTCTTTTATTAATTTTAACTGGTAGCGATAGAAATTGAACCAATAATATTGCAGAAGAATAAGAAGATGTCACCAATCTATTTAATAAAGAAAAATCAAACATCATTTATAAATAATAAAACACTCGAATTCTTTGTTTGCAATTAGATCAAATTTTCAACAGATATATGGATCAAATTAAACGAAAATTAAGTTTTAATCAATCGTCGGAAGAAAAAACAAAGAAATTACGAAGTAAGTTATTCGTATAGTAAATCGATATTTGTTTGTATTTTTATTATCATAGATAAATTTGATGGAAAAATATCTTCTATTGAAAATTTATCGAATGAATTCTTTTATGAAATATTTGATTATCTCGATGGTTGTGAAATTTATCAAACATTTTCAAATCTTAATTATCGTTTTCAACAACTTCTCAATTCTTCATCTCTTCGATTGAAAATAAATTTTCATCATTCAACATCAGTAGAAATATTTATGAATAACTATAAAAAAATTCTTCTTCTTAATAAAGATCAAATATTTTCAATTCATTTATCATTATCAACACATAATAATCAAATTATCTCATCACTCAACATCGACTCTTCATTTAATCGTCTTGAATCACTTTTTTTTCGATCAATTGAACCGAATACATTAATTTTACTTCTTCCAAAATTAACTCGTCTACCTCTTTTTTTCTCATTAACTATCGATACATGGCAAACTTTAAAAGATCTAAGCGATGTCTATCGATTAATTTTTGATTTACCAAAACTGAAATATATCAGATTATCAGCGATGGAACCGGAAGATATCGACGTAACTGTTTCCTTGCCAATTCCTACTAATAAACAACTTAGTACAATCAAATATCTTTTAATTGATCATCCATGTGCTTTCAATGAACTTTTTACAATAATCTCTTATACATTCCAAATTTGTCATTTGAATTTTATACATAAAAAAGGTAGTACTCTAAAACTTGGAAACATTTCGTCAATTACCTTATCAAATTTAACTCATCTTTCTATATATGGAGATGATATAAGATTCGATGAATTTCAAATATTTATTACAAAAATATATTCAAAATTACAAGTTTTATCTGTTACTAGTCTATCACAAGATATGACTTATCTTGATGCTGATCGTTGGGAAGAATTTATTTTGAAATATTTACCATTATTACAAAAATTTAATTTAAGATATTATGTATTTTTGAATAATGATCATGAAACTGTAATGTATTTTGGTAAATCAAATCAATTTTTTTCATCATTTTGGATTGAACGACAATGGATATTAGAAGCTGAAATCGATTTTGATTATATTATATATTCAATTGGTCCATATAAGTATATGAAAAAGAATTTATTTAAATTTGAATAATTTATTTATTGTTTGTAGAAAACGATGGTATGAATATGATACACAACATAAGATAATGAATATTCTTAATAAACTTGCTAAATCTATGCGAACTGTTCTTATGAGTTTTACTACTGAACATGATTTTGATTTATTAAGTGAAAATATTTGTCACATTTTAACTGTAGCACAGACTTATCATCTGAAAATTTCTAACAAACTCTTCAATGGTGCATTAATCGAAATATTATATTTATTACCTGAACTTGATTCATTACAAATTTCTTCTGTATCATTATCACATCTAAGATATTTATCTATTGATGAAGTAGAACTCGATTCTATATCCAAGAAAAATCAAATTACAAAAGTTTGTCTAGATAAAATGTTTACTATTGAAGAAATTTATTTTTTGATTGAACTTTTTCCTCGTATGACATATCTCAAAGTAGATATTATAAATAATATGAATATTGAATTATTTGTACGACTTATTTTAATAAAAATTATTGAAAAATCTAATTATCAACTTCGATTATTGTCTTTTTGTGTTGTAGCAGCAGATGATGAGATAATTGAAAAATTAAACAAAATGATTAATTATGAAAAATTGCTATTGAATTATAAAACTAAACGTATACTTGACAATATTTATTTACAATGGAAATGATTGTTATGTTTATTCTTGTATAAGAGTTTTCAATAAAGTTAAAATTTATTTATTCCTTTGTATACTATGTTGTTTTTTTCATATACACTACACTTCTCTATGTCACTTATTCGTTAGTGCTGCTTTTGACGATGTGAATTTCTTTTTGTGTGACTTTATATAAGAATATGTGAGTAATTATATATGTTGTAGGTAGAATTGAAATTCAGGCAAATTTTAAATTTGCCTAGGCAAAATTGAAATTTTAATTTCGCCCAGTCAAAATTAAAATTTCAATTTTGACTAGACATTGCTTGGGCAGAATTGAAGCTTCAATTTTGCCTAGGCAAAATTAAAATACAGCTAGGAATAAATTCATACAATGAAAAAATTAAAATCTGAATAGAAAAACTTTATTATTGAAAAATATTTCTTCATTTAACTAAACAATTCCAAGAGAATACATTTCGACAAAATCTTTTAATCTATTCACCCATATTAGTTTATTTTATTTTTGATAAAGAACGTGATTGTATGAATTTATTCCTAGCTGTATTTTAATTTTGCCTATGAAAAATTGAAATTTCAATTCTGCCCAAGCAATGTCTAGGCAAAATTGAAATTTTAATTTTGACTGGGCAAAATTAAAATTTCAATTTTGCCTACAACATATATATACAATTTGAGTTGATGAACTAGGTCAATCAACATTACTGTCGACAATAGCAACGACGTTACTCTCCTGACTCATGAAATTATCCTAGTAGAAATTTTTCAATGATAACTTTACATTGAATACTGGATAGCAGTCAGTCATAAAGTTGATTTCAATCTTTTCAACAGCAACATCGAAATATTTCTTAAGTTGTAGTGAGTTACTACGACACATATCGAGTCACAGTAATTCGACCATTATATTAATATATTGTCATTGTCCTAGTCTCTCGTATAGACATGAAAATGAATTTTCTCCTATAGAGATTATTTATTGTAGTACCATTACAAAAGTAACTCGATACGCTGAGTGAAAAAAAAGGGTATTTTTTTTTCTAACCATGACAAAACATCGTCATTTCTTTTAGATCACATTTAAAATTTCAAACAAATATTTTCAATTGATTTAAAGCTATGATTATATACCAATGGATTTTTCTCATATATACAATATAGATTTATCGTTTAATCATCTGTTCTTAATTTAATTGAACGAAACATGCTTAGTCTAATTCTTCCCATATTACCTTGTTTACCTCGTCTTCTCTCATTGACTATCAAATATGTTAAAAGATAACATTTATATTGAATAAAAAAAAAACCTGTCTATTTTTGTTTGTAGTAAAAGATGGTATGAATATACATATCCAATTAAACTTTCTAAATCTGCTCGACTTAGATTTATATATAATCTTGGTGACGAATATTGTGAATTAATAATTTTAGATATGAATTCTGTTTTAAATGTAGCATAGATTTATCATTTGGAAATTCTCTCTTCGTACATTATTAATTTCTATATTATTTTCATTACGTGAACTTATTTTTCTGAAAATTGGTTCTTTATCAATAGATAGAAGAAATGGATAATTTTTCTTGAACATCAGATACAAGTAAAATAATTAAAAAAAAAAGTCATTATTTCGAGACGATCAATAAAATTGAAATGATTTATTTCCTAATTAAACTTTGTCCTATTATGCATTATCTTCAAGTAAATTGTATTAATGATGTTGATGTTGAATTATTAGTAGGAGATGTTTTATTCAAATTTAAGGATGAATGTGATTATCAACTTTATCCATTGTATATTTATGTTTCAACAGCAGATAATGAAATGATTAAATAATTAAAATAAATTATCAATATTGAGGATTTGCTTTTTGGTTTTATGATTAAACATTTAATGAAAAAGATATCTATTTGTAATAGAAATTATTCTGTTAGTTGTTCGGTAAATAAAAAAAAAATTTATTACTCTATAAAAGAAATATCTATGAGTAAATAGGAACAATTTTTGTTAATGTAACTTAATTAGGATAAGAATTAAGTAATATTATATATTATTTAATATGAATAAGAAAACTAAACATGATTCATCAGCTATATTCTTTATAGAAAAGAAAAGAATAAGATGTTATCATTCTCTTTTTGTTTAACAAAGAATAACACAAACATACATTTGCACATTTCATTCTTTCTTCTAGATCATTTATTCTACATCGACTTATTTAATAACATTTTATTTTTATTAGCCACATTCAATCAAAAAAACGTAAGTCATATAGGCAACAAAAAAACAAAACTTTTTACTAATATTAAATTTTCATCTAGAATGTCAATAATTTCAATTGAAGATTTATCTAATGAATTTTTTTATGAAATATTCGAATATCTTGATAGTTGTGAAATATATCAAGCATTTTACAATCTAAATAATCGGTTTCAACAACTTCTTAATTCTTCATCTCTTCTATTTAAAATAAAACTTCATTATACAGAATCAAACGAAATAATGATGAACAACTATAAACAAATTTTTCTTCACAATAAAAATCAAATATATTCAGTTCATCTATGGATATCGACAGATGATAATCACATTATTTCATCGTTTACGATTGATTCATCATTTATTCGTCTTGAATCTCTTGTTTTTAGTCCTATTGAACCAGATTTACTTATTTCACTTCTTCCGAAATTAACTCATCTACCTCATCTTTTCTCATTAACAATCGATACGTGGTATGCTCTAAAAGATCTCGGCAATATTTATCAATTAATTTTCAATCTTCCGAAATTGAAATATGTCAAATACACAGCAACAGAATCCGATGATTTCGACGTAACTGTCTCACTGCCAATTGCTGCTAATGACCAACAAGTCAGTACTATCGAATATCTTATTATTGATCATCCTTGTGCTTACGACGAACTTTATAATATAATATCTTATACACCACAACTTCGTCGTCTGAAGTTTTTGAATCTAAGTGAAAGTAATGTAAGCATTGAAGTTATTAAGCCAATGACATTATGGAATTTGACATATCTTTCTATCCATAATTATCGAATGACATTTGATGAATTTGAAATATTTATTAAAAAATTCTATTCTTCGAAATTAAAGATTCTATCATTTAATACTATAGTTGAAGATATTGCTTATCTTGATGCTAATCGATGGGAAGAATTTATTTTACAAAATTTGCCAAAATTAGAAGAATTTTATTTTAAATATAATGCATATTTTGAAGATGATTATGAAACTCCAATGTACTTTGGAAAGCGTGATCAATTCATTTCTCCATTTTGGATTGAACGACGATGGATCCTACAAGCTGAAATTGAATTTGATAATTTGATATATTCAATTCGTCCATATAAGTATATAAAAAAAGAAAAGTTTTTGTTTTTTAATTAAATAATTTATATTTTCTCTTTAGAAAAAGATGGTATGAATATAATACACAACATAAGATAATTAATTCTTCTGATCAATTGTCTAAATTCATACGACTTATTTTAGTTAGTGCATCTTCTGAACGATGGTCTACATCATTAATCCTAAATAAATATATTAATCATGCTTTAACTGTAATACATATTCATCATATAGAAATTCAGGAACATTTTTATATTGGTACATTAAGAGAAATTTTATATTTATTACCTGA